TGGTTGCAAGACACACTCTCTCGCTCTCTCTGCCCAGAGGGAGGACTAGGACGTCCTATATATTGGGAGGCGAGCCGTCAGGTTGAGCTGATCGGGGGGGGGCGGCGAAGGGTCTCTTTACATTTGCCCTCGCTAATGTAGGGTCAGGTCTGGACTTTTTCTGAGACTATAAGTTGTTGTATATTCAGGAGAAATCTTCAGATGAATGCCTGTCTGTTAACATCGTTGGTGGGGCCGTGTGATATGAGAGGTTCTGGTTGATTTGTGGCCCTTTGACTTGGGCTCGAGGGTTATATTTTACCTGATTAATGTGAGGGTAGGTCTGGGCCTCGTCTGGGATGTACTGTAGGTTGTTTGTGTAAATTGGGGAAGGGCCGCAGGTGGCTCCTTTGCTCACTGTGTGTCTTACATATTTGTTGGGGCCGTGTGACATGGGAGGGGAGCCTGGTTGATTTGTAACCCTTGGGCAGCAGCGAGGTTTACCCTTACACTTGACCCCCCTAATGTCGGGTCAAGTCTGGACTGTTTCTGAGATGTAAGCTGTGGTCTGACAACCCATCACTACACTTGCATATATATATATATATATATATATATATATATATATATATATATATATATATATATATATATATATATATATATATATATATATATATATATATATATATATATATATATATATATATATATATAACAAATATATATATATTATTAAATATATATATATATATATATATATATATATATATATATATATATATATATATATATATATATATATATATATATATATATATATATATATATATATATATATATATATATATATATATATATATATATTTGTTCAGTATCCTCTTGGGATTATGGGAAACTTTTGTCGTGGCCCTCGACATCTCCAAAGCATTTGACAGGGTATGGCAAGTTTTGCAATCTAAACTTCCTCTTTTGGTTTCTCTCCCCCACTTTGTTCTCTCATCTCTAGCTTCCTTGAGAATCGATCCATGGCAGTTGTTGTCGAGGGATCGATTTCTCGCTCTTTCTCTACCAATAGTGGCGTCCCACAGGGTTCTGTTCTTTCACCAACTCTCTTTCTTCTTTTTATCAATGATTTATTTCACACTACAACTAATTCTATCCATTCTTACGCCGATGATTCTACTCTTCACTCTTCCTCACATTTTCCCCTTCCTCCTAACTCTCAAACTAGATCTGTTTCTAGAACTGATATCATTACTTCTATCAACGCGGATCTGTGCAGCATCTCTGAATGGGGAGATACAAACTTGGTTAAGTTCAATAGTAACAAAACTCAATATTTACCAATTACACTTTGTAAAGTAGACGATCTCCCACCAATTACATTTCAGGACGCTATCATCCTCCCAAATTCTGAAATAAATATGTTAGGCCTCACCATTTCCTCCAATATGTCCTGGAAATCACACATCCTTAGTATAACTAAAGCTGCCTCCCGAAAGTTGGGAATGCTGTACAGATGCCGCAGCTACTTCACTCCTGAGCAGTTGCTCCAAGTATATAAGGGATTCATTCGTCCTAACTTGGAGTACTGCTCTCATATCTGGGGTGGCTCTTCTTCTGTCCAACTATTAGATAGGGTGGAATCAAAGGCATTTCGTCTTATTAACTCTCCTCCTTTAGTCGACAATCTCTCTCCCCTTTCTCTTCGCCGCAATGTTGCTTCACTCTCTCTCTTTTACAGGTACTTTAACGGGCAATGTTCAGTGGATTTGGCATCCTGTGTACCGCCGGCAAGGCCGTGGGTTCGTAGCACACGTCTTGCCCGCGGTGCCCACCATTTCTCTGTGGATGTCGGTCACACGAGAATAACCCGTTATAGTACCTCCTTCTTTCCTCACACAGCCAAACTGTGGAATGCTCTGCCTTCTTCTGTGTTTACATGCTCTTACAATCTGTCTCACTTTAAAAAGATGGTTTTCCGGCATCTTCGTGGTGTAGATTAATACAGTATAACCCTTTTTTCTATATTTTCAATTTCTTTCCGTTCTTTTTTTTTTCGCCCCCCAGGTTCCGTTGTGGGTCGTTTGACCTGTGCCCGGGTGGGCTAATTCCCGTAACAAAAAAAAAATCACCGTAAATATTTTATCACTGATACATTATAAACATTGAACACAGTTAAGGGGCGTCCACATGCACAATATAACACGTGTTATTAACAATGTTATGTAATATGTTTTTGAGTATTTAGAGAAATTTCATATTATATCACAAAAAATCAAGGTCTATAACATGTTAGCTGTTATCCGTTTGAAAGCGGGAAGATTAAAGGATGTTACATAATTACTTCTAGACACAGGTTGTTCGTATCCTTTTGTCCATCCTTTCAGTTTGCTCCAGTCAGCTGAGAGGTGAGACTCAGACTAGTGTTCATAACATTTACTTAGTGTGGACGTCATTGTTAGATAACATTCTGTTATATAATATTTTCAATAACTTGCTAGTAACATTGCTATATAACATATAACCGAGTGTGGACGCGCCTTTAATTACACTCTACATAATCTGGAAGCGTCCCTAGAACGTCAACAGCTAATGTCTTGTCTGATACATTTACTGGTGTAATAATATAGCTGTTATTGTATGACCTTGATTGTTGTTATTTTTTACATTATCAATATTCTTTTGTTCACATTATCTTTGTTATTATTGTCATTAACACAATAATAATAATAATAATAATAATAATAATAATAATAATAATAATAATAATAATAATAATAATAATGATAATGATAATAATAATAATAATAATAATAATAATAATAATAATAATAATAATAATAATAATAATAATAATAATAATAATAATAATAATAATAATAATAATAATAATAATAATAATAATATTAATAATGATATATTTTACTATTATCACCAGAAGTAAGTTACTAGTAGCAGCAGAAGTAATCTGAAAATACGAGTAGTATTGGGCGAAGCAATTGCAGTAGTAATAATTTTCTATTTTTTATATATTTTTTTTATGAGGACAGTAAGAGTAATGTAAGATACCAAGCTAATTAATTACTGTGGGTCACACATGTACACGTAGCTGTGTTTGGGTATTTTTTATACAATTGTTGTCTCTGGGGAGAATTTATATGTAAAAATGAACGAGTGGTGAAAATATGCACGATATATACCAAGCGTAATTCAGCAGTTATTTTATACACTTAAGCACACACACACACACACACACACACACACTCATTCTTTTCTTCTACATAAACAACAAAAAACAAACTTCCTTCAACAGACATTGCCGTAGACTCCAACATACAGTATAATCTTCCCCAACACATGAAAGCAACGCGAGGAAAGGGCAAAAAAGAAATTAATTTTACACACACAGACACTCGCTTACCCTCACTCACATATGTAATTCCTGGGAGCGGAATTACGTGTTCGTCCAGTATTATGTTTCATTACGTTCCTTTTAGCAAATTTAGACTATTATGTTATGGTGATTCACGAGGGAAAAACAGATGTTAATGTGACTTTATATACAAACGTGCTGTACTTATGTATAAATATATACATTTTCTCTGGTAATGTAATATTTTTTCCCATTACAGCTGAAATCCTGAGGAAAACAAGAGTTAATTCTACATTCACTGTTATCATTAATCTACAGTAACTGTCTTTTCGGTATTTGTTCTAAGATGCTCCCATTCATAACGTAGCCCCTAGCGGTCTACTTGGTTAACATCATTTACTACAACACATCACCATCATACACTAACAGTAAGTCAAACTTTCAAAGTCATGACGCCAAGTTGTCCCACCGACCACGGACTCCTGAACGTCCATCCTCCATCTCTACACTAGAGAACCTACCTCGCTCTATTTTTTTTTTCTGTTCCCCTCGGGCTTTCTCACGCTCCTACCATTTAGTGTTCAGTTAGTCAATCTCTTTACCTGTCTTTCGTTTCCCATGCAGTGTATTAACAGTACCTAAACACACCCAGGCCAGTCCTCTGCTTGATATCACGTTCAATTTTACATCTTTCTTATTCTCCGTAGCGATGACTCGCGTGATGGCGGCCACCATTACTTACAGTGATACCAGAACGTGTGGGCGGCCACCAGCCCTTACAGTAATGCCAGAACGTGTGGGCGGCCACCAGCCCTTACAGTTATGTCACAACGTGTGGGCGGCCACCAGCCCTTACAGTGATGCCAGAACGTGTGGGCGGCCACCAGCCCTTACAGTGATGCCAGAACGTGTGGGCGGCCACCAGCCCTTACAGTGATGCCAGAACGTGTGGGCGGCCACCAGCCCTTACAGTGATGACAGAACGTGTGGGCGGCCACCAGCCCTTACAGTGATGACAGAGCGTGTGGGCGGCCACCAGCCCTTACAGTGATGCCAGAAGGTGTGGGCGGCAACCAGCCCTTACAGTGATGCCAGAACGTGTGGGCGGCCACCAGCTCTTACAGTGATGCCAGAACGTGCAGGAACAAAACTCCAGGGAGCGAAGAGGTTAATTACCCGCCACCAGGTGACACTCGGGCAGCTCTTAAGGACGGCCCCGGAGGCACGGTACTTGAAGCCCTTCCATCACCATCTCCTCCTCCTGCTTTTCTGCCTTGGAATTAAGGGGAGGTGGATGATGTGGAAGAGGCGGGGGAAGGTGGAGCCGTGGGGAGGAGGTGGAGACATGGGGTAGGGGGTGGAAAAGCTGATGTGCATCATAGGTGGTGGTGAAGTGGGAGTGGAAGAAGAAGGAAAATGAGGACGAGGAGGAAGAAGGACAAATAAACAAACAGTAAATTGCTACGTGAAGAGGGAAGAAAGAAGTGAAGGAGAGAAGAATGAGTGAAGTGGAAAAGACACTCGGGTGTTCTTATTTGATAAGCTCTTTAGGCAAGGTCAGAGTGATTTATCAAGATGAGGTTCTGATAAACAACACGAAGAAGTCAGGCACAACACAACAATCAAATGAGACAAGCAAGTCATGGAGAAACACTCCATTGGAATTACGTTGCTGGAACAAGTGAGAGGACTGGTGCTGGTAAGTTACTCTAGGGAAGGAGAGAGACGCGAGTGTTATATCCTTTTATGTGTTAAATTTATCACCTAACTGTAACATAATCTTCTTACCACTGATCAACATATCACATTTTAGGTAAATCTCTAATGCAGTGGATTTCATTCTAGTGAGTTTGTGTTATTTTTTGGATTATTATTATATTTAGGTCAGTTATACTCCAGAAGTGGCCAAGTGTTTACAGCACTCGCTTCCCGTACTAGGGGTAGCTGGATCGCATCCTGGGTACCTCTACTCGACCCAGCTGGGAATTAGTACCTAACGTTACATTTGGGAGAAATCAGAGGCCGAATACAGTGCCGGCCATACTGACTCCTTGTGTACCTGATGCTCAGTACTCAGTGTGGCTGTATCTACACTACCCCTAACGTGCCCCTCCATGTCTATAGTCGACCAAGGAAAGATGGTCGACCAAGGCAAGATGGTCGACCAAGGCAAGAGTCATCAAACAAAATACACTAAAAAGGA